TTTTTTCCTTTTAGGAAAAATCACCAAACATCTTGTAACACTAATCAGTTGCTCACTGCGTAAACGCGTTAGCTTTTCTAGAACAAAAAAATTTCCGTATAAAACCCCTAATTAATGAATTAACACTTGTATCTCATTAAAGTTTCCTGAAAATAGCCCAAAACGAAGTCGTGAAAGAAACACTCAAAAAAATAGAAAGCTATGTAAGATCCCAAAAAGTTACTAACTGAGTGAGCGTCTTCTGCAACTCATCAATCTTAGAGCGCAGCGTTACGTTTACTTCTTCGAGTTGCTTCTGCAAACCGTCATTACCTTCGCGAAGGTCACTGATTTCTTTGGCCATATTTTTCCTCTCTGAGTCACCGGAAGTCCTTGCCTAAAATATTGGCTACAGCCTAAAACACCTCAAAATGCTGGAGTTCAAAACTATAATTAAATCCAAAGAAAAGTACCGCTTTCTCCTGGGATACACTTGATTCCAACTCTCCTATGGCTGCTTCTAATTTAGCTTTAGCTTTTGCCATCTGTTTAGCTTTTTCTTCTTCTGCTGCAAGCTTCTCGCGTAATTCCGTTAAGCGTTCATCCATCACAGTTTTTTCTTTAATTAGCTATAAGTGAATAAGCTTACTCTTGACTAAAAAGGCGGCAGCGCCTGGTTAATTCATATATACTCAGCCTTTTATCTAAAACAATTCATCTACTAGTTATCCGTCCCCAAATCTTCTGTTTATACCGAGCGTCTTAACAAAAAAAAATCTTGCATATCCCCCACTGTAGCCTCACCACTATATAGTGTTAGAGTTACAGGAGAAGCTAGCGATTGCTATTGCCTTCTGGGCAATAGCAATCGCTAGCTTCTCCTGTACCACAGTTAAGCGTGAACAGAGTTATAGCGAAAATTTCTACACACATGAAAAAATACTTGGAAGGAGTTTTTCCAATCATGTACCATATACGAAAGTAAGTAGCCAAAAAGTTGCTCCACTGTTTTTTACGAACAGCTTGCTTGATATTACGAGGCTACCTTAGCTAAATTCAACATCACAACAAACTTTTTAAAAAGCTTGTAGCTCTTCCAGTCAACTTCTTATCTTGGTAAAACTTCGTTGTCTCCACCTCATTTGAAGACAATTTGTACCGCCCCACTGTCACTTTTAATTACGCTTCGAAAAATACTGAAAAGTTTCAAAGAAAATGCGGCTAAAAGCGACTGCAACCGCTCATTAATTGTCCATATTATTTCATAACTCCATCCTCTTTCTGTGGCAGAGTTCAACCCCAAATAATAAATTCCATTACGCAGGTATTCTTCAAATAAGTTCTGGACAGTATAAAAATAGTTAAATTAACATTAACCTTTTGATGGTCGTCGGTAAGGTCGTTTTGTTCCTCAGTGATCGCTTTGAGTTTTTGCTCAAGAGATGACTTCTCTTTTTGCAGCGAGTCTTTTGAGGTCGTCTCTTCTTGTAATTTTTCTTCCATCTCAGCCAGACTATCCTGCAATACTTATTCCTTTGTTCCCATGTAAGAACTGTTGCGAAGTGTAGAATCAGATTTTATCTTTTTTTGAAACTGTGCAAGCGAATGAAAGCAGTTGTAATGGAATTCTCACCTTTAGTTGTTTACCTTCATCAGAAAGCTGCTTAACTTTCTCATCAGTTTCCTCAAGCTGATGTGTCAAGCTTTTTACCTCTTCTTCCAAAAGATCTCTTCTTGCCTGCAGCTGATCTCTTACTTCTTCTAAATCTACCTTCTCCAATGCTTCTGCTTGTAGCTGTTCTTGTAATTTTGTTCTTTCAGCCAAAGCCTGCAATTTCGATTACGGGAACCAGATGATCTCACAGTAACTTAAGCAATTCCTGAATGACACTTTAAAAGTAATTCTGTAAGACAAACTAAACATTTTTATCAAAAAGGTGCCGACTCTCAATTTTCCACGTCACTAGCAGTTTAGAAAATCACTTCCAACTGCCAACAAATTTAATGTCTTAACCAAAAGAGCTATAAAACAGATTTTTACAAGATTTAACGAGCCAAACAGCGCAGAACGAATAAACCGGTTCCGAAAAAGACTTTAAAAAATTACCTGTTCAAGTCGGGTGCTAATTTCTGCCATTTCAGTCTCTTTTTGGGATAGAGCGTCTGTTTTTACACGCAACTCTTCGTCTTTAGAGGCTAAAAGTTGGTCTGTTCGTGTAACTTCTAATAGCGGTTTCACCTGCAAAAATACATCTTAATATGGCACGAACAGCAGCCCATAAACGTAAAGAGTAGCACACTGTTGGAAATGAAATAATAAATGAGCAAAAATGCGTCAGAAATCCAAGTATAAACAACCGTTAGGAATAAGCGCCACCACAGCCAATCGCGAAGACGAGCCCATGCCTTACCATTCCTCTGTATAACCCGAATAGCACTCGACTGAACAATACGCTTCTGAAAAGCTTTCCTGGCCAGAAAACCTTTGCAAGCGGCTTGAAATGCGGTCACGAGGTTCGATAAAGTCCTGTCCCGTTTTTCTTCTAAAGCTGCTACCACGCCAGCGCGGAAGAAAACTTTAGATGTGCCAATACGGTAAGAACTTTCCTCCAATTCCAAAGCGCTTATAATACGCCTGAACTTCTTCAATGCCAATAGCAACCAAGACTAGTTAAGAAGCATGGATTTCAGAAACTAACCTGACAGCTTCCCTACTGTCTAAAAAGCCAGCCGGCACAGCACCCGGAGCTAACAGTGTCTCGTAGCGCTGCCTGAACTCTTGGAAAGGTACTTTATTAGGGTAACCCTGCCGACATATTCGAATCCCTTCCAAAACACCGTTACATCGCAGTTGTTCTAACACGAGAGGAGCTAATATAACACCAGGCTAAAACAGAAAGGAAGAATTATAATTTAATTTACAAAGCTGCTGGTAAACTGTAAAAGTTACGTGAGTCGAGTATAAAGACAGTTGATACTTTACAATATATAAACAGGGTTAGTTGGAAGACATATAAATAATGGTAAGAAAATTCTGAAGATGAAATCATTAAGCACGGGCGTTAGTATTACCCAAAAGAACACAACAGCGTTTTAATCAGTTCAAGAGAGTCACAGGAAATTACCCGTTTCTCGTAATTCGGTATAATGCAACGAACAAAATGAGGGCTGGTATTGTTCAAAGTATCCATCAATCGTGTCAGTTGGTCCCTATATAACTGACCAGCAGTACGGAACATCCCTTTTTTGATGCGACTCCCAGACGATGATGCGTCAGTGTCTCTTATACTGGCGAATTCAGCTAAAATCCTCCTTACATGAAGTGAAATGGGAGCAATTCGCAAGCCATGAATATTTCATTTTCTTCTATATTGTTAAGCTCTACCATAATAGTAAGCTACTCTAACAGACCCACGAGAAAAAGCACAGATACACTCTAGATCGCTATTAGGTTTTACGAGAAAATATAATTATTCATTTACAGCCCTAAAAACTGTTCAAAGACGTGGTTCTATTCCATATATAATTGAACAATCACACCCTGCCACTAATGTAGAATTTATTCAGTTCGCAAAAGTATACCGTCTTTCCATATCAGAGCTACGAACTCGGAGGTTGACTTCTGCATGAGGGCTACAACATTATCATTCAGAGGATCCATGTTTTTCATTAACCACTGGTCTAAATAACAGAAAATTAAAAGCCATGAAAACTTCAGAAACAACAATTTAAAATTCTAATACTGTTTTACCTGCCATATACTCGACTCGACCAGCGTAATGTACAATTGAAAAATCCCATTTTGCTTTCATATCAGGGGTCACAAATTTGGGATGTGCTGAATGATTACCAATAAGTTTCTCGACTAAAGTTTTGTCCGTAGCTTTTGGGAACACGCACTGCTCATCAAGGAGTGCCAGTATTCCCATGGGCTGAAATGGTTAAAAGCATAACAATGGGTTGGAGAAAAACAAGTTAGCCTTCCGAATGAATATAAAACGGAACGATCACTGTAAAGGCAAATTTTCCACTCTTGCAGCAACTAACTCGTGTTAGCATTCTATAATACATTAACTTAGATTTCCAATGTTTCAAAATCATTTAAATCATTAACGAATGGCAGTAAATCAAGAAGGAACGCCTGTCGCTTTTCTTGTTCAATGCTCACGAGAAAATCAAGGGTTAAAGCTGAGCCCAACGGACGATTTCTGAGTTTGTCACACTTCATTCAAAGACGTGTGATGGTTTGTAAAAGAATGCTTAGCTGTACATCCAAACTTATAATGCACTCAGAAAAATGCATATTAAAATTTTTGATCTGTTTCTCGCTTATTTCCTCAAAGAAAAGAAGTTAATCAAATGAATAAGCCACTAGCAGCTGAGTTAAAAAAGTGCCACAATCGTAAGAAACGCTGTTGAAGAAGTCATGAAATCTTGCTCTTGTTCCTAATCCATACTCCAAAACGTATTGGAAAATAAAAATACAGAATGCTACCCACAAAGAGCTATAATTTATGTAAGATCCCTAGAAAAAAGTTCCTATAACATTAATATCCGTCTCACTTTTTTTGCATTTGATATATAATTTAAACTCCTTGAACCGCACTTTGAGAAATGTAGCCTTGTTAAGAAGAGAAAACTACATTGAGAATTAAAGAAAGCCAGTGTCTTTGAAAAAATTTTAAGTTAGAAAGGAAATAAAGTTTTGTGTGACTAGTAAAACAAATTCTTTTTGCTCTGGCATTTTTACACAGTCATCCTTTGATATTTGACATGAAAAACAGCGCAGAACACGAGGTATCCAATAGAGATTTTAAACCGCCAGCTCAAAACCTGACTCCGGCTATTTTTAATCGGTGGTGAACTGTGGCTTTAGATTTAGTCCCCAATATACAATGCCATAAAAGTTAGTTTAGTCAATCGGTTTACTTTATAAAATTTCACCCGTAACCTTCTTCTTCTTTCTAAATGTTCCTAATCCTTATATAATTACAAGAGACTTCACCATCGTTAAACGATTTTCAAAGTCCAAACAGTATGAATTGTCTAAAAAAAAATCTCTTTCGGATTTTTTTTTTTGGTTTTGTCTTCGTTTTTGAAGATTTACTGTTGTAAGCCTTATAAAAATATAACGATAGTTCTGTAATAATTTTGCCTTTCTACACGAACGACAACACGTAAACCAAAGCCTTTTTCTATTTTATTTCTTCTGGAACTCGTTTTACGTAAGCTACCTGACAAGCAACTTATTACGTAGTTTTTACTGGCAAGAAAACATTATTAACTCAAACGTGTCCTTTAAACCATAGATTTTCTCTATCTCTTTACCTATTCTTTTGATAAAGCATCGAGTTTCATTAGCCTATTTTTAAGAGTAAAGGTAAAGAAACTTTACTGTACTGTTAAATGTCAGAGTACTCTACATCCGTTGAAATGAGAGCCTGTCCAATTTAAAGATTACATCATCAACTAAACTGGTTAAAATCGAGCAAATGTTAAGCAGTGACGGGGGATTATCTTACTCTTCTTAGTATTAAAAACTTATTTTTCCCGCTTTTTCTACTTCAAGTGTCCTGTTTGCCTTTTGCTTCCGCTCTACTACTCTGAGCACTTCAAATAGAAGCTTTTAGAAGTTTTCAGTAACCCTTCCGTCCAAATAATTTAGCTTTTTTAGAATCTTTTGAAAGAAACACCTCGCTTTAAACGATTTTCCTCACAACCTCTCGACCAACTCTTTAGAGTTAAATGCTGAAACTTATTCATTACTACCTTCCCCACTTCCTGCCAAGTTATAAAAAATCGTGGCTGCTTTCATGTTTGATTCCCTGAATTCATTGCTTACTGTTGCTGAGAAGAACAAAGGACCAATTCTTTTGTTGCTTTCGACGTTTTTAATAACACAAACATTTCGTATTAGACTGTTGATATGAACCGTCGTTGTCAGTTCAATTGTCAAATTCCTACTCCTTATCTCTTTCTTTACGCTAAGTCTCTTAAGAATAACTAGCTATGTCTTTAAGCAGTTCAGATTTCATAGTTTGGAGGGTTTACGCGCCAGTTCCGATTAAATAAGGAGGTGGAGATAAAAGTTGCCTAATGCTGCAAGAAAACTCAAAACATCAAAAACGTGACAAATATGTTTTGCAAAGCAACAGCGAATTAAAAATGGAAACTACTGTAGCATCTTAGTGAAATGGTTTATCCTCACTAGAAAAACCAAAATTTCAAGACTACGCATTAAAATAACTAGAAAGCATCAATGCAGAATACTGTGAGGAACTCCTAAAAATAGGTCTCTACTGGACAGAAAAACTAGCGGTCACTCACTTTCTCAATTAAATCTATTGTTGGCTGCAGATCTAAACCAAAATCAATGAAGTCCCAATCAATTCCTTCTGCCTGGTACTCTTCTTGCTCTCGTATAAACATAGTATGGTTAAAAAGTTGTTGTAACTTCTCATTTGTATAATTAATGCAAAGCTGTTCGAAACTGTTCACCTCAAATATTTCAAATCTAAAAATTATACTCGTAAGTTACGAAACAATACAGAAACATAGATTTCTTAAATAAAATTCTACAATAAAATTTTCTGTAAAATTTCCTATAAAAAAAATAAGATGCTACTCCACTTATAAAATCAATCATTTGGTAGAAACGACAAAAAAGTCAAGAGACCGATTTAATTTTTTTTCATATGAATGTCGAAATACAGAATCAGAATTCTTAATCTCAAAATATTCTAACAAGGCCGTTTTAAAAGCTAAAGTTGGAATTAAAAGACGACGAACCTAGTTCCTACACTGAAAAATTACTTTACTTCTATATAAGCTTACGACAGGCAGGGCACATTACCCTGCGATATCAAGAATCCCTATAAATGCAGTTCCCTGACGAGTAGTTCTTCCCAAAGAGCGATTGATTCGAGACACCAACCAGCGAAACAATCTCTCATAAAGGGCCTTGGTAATTGCTGCTACTGCATAAAGCACCTGGTCTACCGTTTGCGCTTTATGAACATAATCGCGACCCACCTAAATCACTTAGGAAGTTTTTCAAAAACACTTATTATGTACAAGAGAAAGCCACTGATTAAAAGGCAAACAGTTGCACTTTACCCCCTCCCTTTAAACTAGCCATTAACAGAAAATATACGCTATGAGAATTCTAAAACTTACTGTGCCTTCGACTCCTGTAATTGGTAAAAAGAAGTCAATTTTACTCTTAGAACAAAACAGAAGCACTCTCTACTATCAAAGCATTTAAGAACCCACTTTTATTCGAGGTTTTAAAAAAGACTTTGTGACTTCTGCAACAGGAATACCAAGAAGAGTGCAAAACTTCTGCATAGCTGAAAAGTTACCACTTTTTGAATTTCTTCAAACCAAAAAGTATTATCAAAAAAAGGTTGAACAAAGACTTACAATTACATTAATAACGACACACGATCTACGTAAGCTCACTGTTGTCATCAGTAGCATTACGTAAAACCAATATTTCTAATCATTAAAATAAAAAACATATTCAGCAAAGCGTTAGAAAAATAATAAAACCTGTATCGTTGGTAAGTATAGCCTGATCTGTATTCTTCTTATCCTGCACGAATTCCTGGTTGCCAATTAGTAGAGATGCGCTTGCTACTTGCATTACAGCTAGAATCAGAATTACCTCAATCAAGTTACTTTACAGGATGTCACATAGGCAGTCATCACAACTTCTAACAAAATAAATTGTTAGAGCTTGTAAAATATTTGAGCTCTTGTAAGATCAAAAAAAAGTTTTGAAACTATAGATACAACAAAAGTGGAATCATAAGTAAGGTGCAAGTGAACCCCAATTTCAGTAGAAAAAGCACATTCTCTTACCAAAAAGACTATTAAATTATATAGCACAGAAACTTAAAAATTAACTTTAAGATTTATGAAAAAACCTTCAATTTCTGCAGCGCTGAAACTCATAACCCTCATTGCATCAACTGTAACTTTGAACTCTTCCTCATCGTCGACATTTGGCAGAGCTATGTCACCGTTTGACAGATAGCGGTAGCTACCAAGATTGGCTTCCAGTAGCAACGCTTCTAAAATTTTCCTGTGCGATTCTAATTTACAAGAAAAAAAAATGTCCACAAACAATTTCAAAACCTAACGAGTAAACAACAAAAAAACTGACATCCATTAAGAACGAAAAATTAAAAAAGTAACTCCTCTCAGTTTTAAAAATTATAAAACTTTTTCTGCATTCATTAAAATAAATGAATAAATACAAACTTTTTTGATTTTCGTCTGCGCCCTTCGTCAACTGATAGAAAAAATGAAAAGAGCGTTCTTGCTTTGCTTGCCGAATGACTCGCGACTTTTCAAGCAAATAATACTCTATGTTCGCACCAGATATAATTCCACCTGAGTCGAAGTTTATACGAATAAATTTCCCCTAAATTCTTTTACGAGATATTACTGTAGTTCCAGCTGACTGATGATTTTCTACTCTTGGGAGCTAAGCGCTGACAAAAACTAGCTTTTTAAAACCTTTTTACCATAACCTCTTTCCCCAGTGGGAGAAGAAACAGTTTTGCGTTGTTTCTTGGACTATCATGAGTATTAACAGTAAGCTTATGCTGTAAAATCTCATCTCACAGTAAAAACCCTTTTAATCCTATAAAAGTTTTAGAGCAGCTACAGAGTGTCACACTTATAAATGATATCCCCTTTTAGTAAATGTTTAATGAAAATAATAATAAAAGAGGTAAATTCTAAAGAGGTTAAAATAATGGAATAAAAAACTAGAAGAAAATGTCTCATAGAATGAATATGAACTATTTTCAGAACAGCGGTCGTACCCCAAACGAGTTAAAACGTGTCATACATTTTAAAATCTAAAAGCCTAAAAGAGTTTTGCTCACTGTACATGTCTTACGAATCAATCAAGAAAAAAGAGCTTCACAAACGGCGAATTCTCATCCGTTCAAATTAAGGTTTTTTGATCTGCCTGCTTTCAAATAACCAATATTTAAAATTATGCGTCTAAAATTTCTGTCAAGACTTTCAAGTAAAAGTCGAAA